TATAGATCCCTTTAAAGGGACCCTTTGAAGAAGCCCACTTAGGGATTAGGCTTAGGGGTCTCGGTGGCGGGGCCATGCCTGAAAAAGTATTTCGCGTGCCATACCATCTTTTGCAATGAGTCGTAAACCCCAAGCCCTAAAGGGTTTAGGGTATAGGGAGTCGCGATTCGGCACCAGGCTTGTGCTTTTGATGACTGCCCTCCCTGTTTCAGTGCTCAGGCCATGTGAGAGGCGTGGAGACATGCGTTAGGCCAGTATGGTTTAGGCATCGGTGTTTCAGGAGCAATGTGTATTTGTATGAAATGCACAAAACCTTTCTCGCAGAGATGAAGCACCAGTAGCAGCAGCTGGGGTAATGGGAGACTTGTCATAGTCCATAGTAGCAGCAAGCAGCAAACCCCCTAAAACCCTAAGCCCTCAACCTTCAATCCTAAACCCTACATCAGTAAGGAGCCCCTCGGAAAATAGTACAGGTACTTAGTTAGGCTCCTAAACCGTAAACCCTAAACCCTAAACCCTAAACCCTGAACCCTGAACCCTAAACCCTAAACCCTAAAGCCTACATTCGTCAGCATTTCAGTTCCATCTCCTGCGTGTAGCTCTCGGCCTTAGAGCAGCGGAAAAGCCGACAGGCGCGACGAGACGGGAGTTTCCGAACTTCTAAGAATGCATCCAGCATATGATATATATATATATATACATATATATATATATATATAAATGTATATATATCTATACATATATATATATATATCATTTATTAATAGTTGTGTATTTCGATAGCTTTCGCATCAAGGCTTCTTAGCAATCTGTTTTTTATTTGCGAGTTCTTCTGGGGGCCTTTCAGAGCCTAGGCTTTAGGGCCCGGGCCCCCTTTCAGCAGGGGGCCTCAATTCAGGCCTCGAGCGGGGTTTAGGGTCTAACGGTTTAGAGTTTAGGCCCCCCGCCAAAAAAAAACAAAAGCCGGATTTAGGGTTGAAGGGTTTGGGGTTTAGGCCCCCGAAAAAAACGGAAACTCCCATGCTCAAGCGGCTGGATCTTGGATTTGAGCCATGGAGCCGACTCCTGCGACGCATCCGCTCCTGCTCCTGGAACCGAGAAGGGGACAGTCCGAAGGAGCCGAAGCGATCGGGTTTAGGATCTAGGGTTTGGGGTTTAGGGTTTAGGGTTTAGAGTTAAGGGTTTGGGGTTTAGAGTTAAGGGTTTAGGCTTTAGGGTTTAGGGTTTAGGGTTGCGGAGAGGTTTTTTGGAAGACTGCGGTGGTACCATTCCCTTTTGAAGGCGTGTTCCCTAAACCTCTCAACCCTTCAACCCGAAGCCCTTTCCTGTATCGGGGGTGGGTTCTTTTTCCGGGCTTCCTTACTCAGCTTGTGCCATAGGTGCGGCCATCTTACGAGCGACTACAAAACTGTGTTGGGGTGTAGGGGTTATAGTAGGGTAAAGACATTATTAAAGAACGTGCAAAGGCGTTAGGCTGCTAAACGGCTGCAGGTAAAAGCCGCTAGATGGTGTTCAGTCAACGCGCGAGACATGTAGCGGCCGTCTGGAACATGATTTCGGGATACATTCCGCTTCGTAGTACTACTGCTTCTGAGCATGGTTGCCCTACATAAAATTACAGCACCTGCTTGTTGAACTACAAGGAGGCTTACACAATCCAGAGCGTTATTCCCATCACTTCGGTGGTACGCTAAACCCCTAAACCCTAAACCCTAAACCCTGAACCCCTGAACCCTAAACCCTCAACCCCTGAAGCCTGGACCCTAAACCCACAACAAACCCCCAAACCCTAAACCCTAAACCCCTAGACCCGAAACCAAAACCCTAAGCCCCACTCTCTGTGTGTTTTTGGGCCTGAGGAGGGACGAGAGCCGTTTCCCAGTCCCGGCGGCCCCTGAGCAGCCTTTCAGGTGAAGCATGTAGGGTCTACAGGGTTTAGGGTTTAGGGTGTAGGGAATCATAGCAATGACAGTGGCAACAGCAAAGTAGGAACAAGTTTAGGGTTTAGGGTTTTAGGGTTAGGGTCTTGGGAACAAAAATATGAACAACAATAATAATAACAACAGAAGTTATATTAGTACTTAAGACTTATAAAGGCAATTTCAGTAAATGTTCCTCCCATGAGTAATGTCACCGCCACAAAAGGTGCTACTATATCAGTGTTACTGTCGATGCTGTTGCTACGATGACTCAGAGTTGCACAATCGCCGTGCTGGTGGTGTGCTGCTGCTACTGCGGCTGACAAAGCTTCCGCGCAATGCGACTTCTACTTCTGCTTGTGTTGCTTTTATCTACCGGTGCTGCCCCTGCGCCTCGTCCTGCTACTCCACTCCTGCTGCTACTGCTGCTGCTGCTGCTGCTGCTGCTGCTGCTGCTGCTGCTGCTGCTAGTTCTCCTACTGCTGTTACTGTTGCTGCTGCTACTACTGCCGCTACTTCTGCTACTGCTACTACTGCTGCTACTGCTGCCACCTGCTGCCACTGCCAGTGCCACTGCGACTGCGACTGCTTCTACTGCTTCTGCGGATGCGGCTGCTCCTCCTCCTCCTCCTCCTCCTTGCCGTCCTCGTACTCGTCCTCCTCATCCTCTTCCTCCTGCTCCTCCTCCTCCTCCTCCTTGCTACTTCTGCTGCTGCCCTCGTTAGTATACTCATCATACTGGTACTCATAGCTTCCAAACATTCCAGGCTTTGTTTTTAACAGGCCGTCACGGACGTTGTCGGCAGCATTGCCAGCATCATCACCATCATCATGATCGTCATCATCCTCATCAACATCAACAACATCATCATCAACATCACAATCATCACCATGATCATCATCCTATTGATCCTCATCCTATTCATCCTCAACTGGGCCCTGGCACACTGAGAATAGTCCGGGGGTGCGGAGTTCTGTGTTTAGTTGGAGTTGCAAGAATAAGCGTTAGACAGGAACCACACCAAGGCGGGAAGGAGGGAGGAAGGGAAGAAAAGAGAGGGAGTGCAGAGCCGCACAGAGAGCGAGAGAGAGAGAGAGAGAGAGAGCGAGAGAGAGAGAGAGAGAGAGAGAGGGACACCGAACAACGGCCGCTAGCGACTTCAGTGCCCCATCACTTTTCACGTCCCCTCAAAGCCCCATATCCTCTGGGGGGCCACTAGGCCGGGGGACCTCAACAGTCCCCCATGCCCTATGAAAGAAAGAAAGAGATACTAGGCACAGGAATCCACAGAGCCATGGAGATGCAGACTGTAGACAGTTACCCAGACTGAGTTCCGTAGCTATGCATGCATACCTACATATCATGGCTGGTTTTTTCCTGGAACACTAGGATGTACAACAATCAGTAGAAAGCACGAGCAGAAAGAAGGAGAAGGGCAAGCAAAGGAGGAGAAGCTGTAAGATTCAGAAGAGGGAACTATACTAGTATACTATGCTGTACTGTGCTATGCTAGACTAGACTATACTATGCTGTACCATACTAGACAGGACGGAGGCGCGGGGGAGAAGAGAAGAGAAGCCAGCGCGATGCAGTGGACCCCTAAACCCTAAACCCCTAAACCTGAATGTAGGGGCCTTATTGTTTTTTGGGGGTCCTTAGTATCAGGTATAGTATAATGGACCCCAAAACCTTATTCCAATTATCAAGGCCCCTATGCAAAGCCCCTAGACCCTAGACCCTAGACCCTAAACCCTAAACCCTAAACCCTAAACCCCAAACCCCCTAAACCCTAAAG